CAAAGATGGAGTTTGGAACTAAGTGCATATGATTACACTATTGAACATAGATCGGCAAAGGATATACCTCATGCAGACTTCTTATCTCGTTATTCATTATTTGAAAATGCTGCTAATGATACTGACTGCTTGTTAGTCCAGCCATTACCTGTGGATCGAGTTAGACTTATAAATGATACTCGGAAATATTACGGATGCGTTATAAATGCAACAAAAAGAGGTTGGAATGTTCAGTGTAAGCGAAGATTTCCAGACTTTTATAAGCGAAGAGATGAGATTTCAGTCCATCCTGAAGGATTTCTATGTCTGAATGACAGAATTATTGTTCCTCCAACATTAAGATCTGCGATTTTGGATGATCTACATTCTGCTCATCTAGGAGCTGATATGATGAAATCATTAGCACGCCTAACATGCTGGTGGCCGGAAATTGATGCTGATATTAACAAAAGATCAAAGAGCTGTTCTAGCTGTTTACATAAAATGTCCTATGGGAAGTTATCGTGGACACCATGGCCTGCATCTTGTGAGGTTTGGCAGCGTATTCATTCAGATTACTGTGGCCCATTCTTAAATTCATATTATGATTTAGTTATTGTGGATTCTTATTCTAGATAACCAGAAGTCATCATTACAGATAGTCCTAATGCAAAATTCACTCACAGAGCGTTGAGAAAGATTTTAAGTCGAGAAGGAATTCCAGATGTCTTAGTTACTGGTAATGGTACTCATTTTACGGAGAAGAACTTCGATGAGTGGCTCAAATACATAGGTTGTCGTCATTTGTACACAGCACCACGTCATCCTCAGTCAAACGGGTTGGCAGAAAATTTTGTACGAACATTAAAGAGTGCTATAGCATCAATGAGTCCTCAAAATTTTGATGAGCTAAAGAGATGTGTGGATAACTTCTTACTTCAAATCGCAATGCGGAGCATACGAGTACTCATGAAAGTCCTGCAAAAATATTCAAATCTCGAATTCTCAGAAAGCATCTGATGTCCACGACTTCTAATGTACATTATTACAAAGGGAATGACTATATACCTTTTGTTGGAATCATACTACAAGAAATGGGAAATCGAGTGGTGAAGGTATTAGACATCAAAGATCACTCAGTTCATAATAGACACCTGGACAAAGTGACAATAAATGAAGTAGGTCGTTCCCATTATAATTTTAATGATTCCGCTACTAATTCTGATTTTGTAGATAATTCAGAAATAAGTCCAGATAATACTGATGAAAATAACGTCACAAAATCACTTAGAAGGTCGCAGCTACTTCCAAGCAAACCAAGACATCATTATAAATACGAAAGGAGATATTCGATATGTGGTTGATGTGGTGAGTGAAAATTTCGATCTCTGTATTGTTTAAATAATTCTGGAGTACTCAAAAATAAACTTATCCAATTTTTACTACTATGTAAGAAATGAACATATTGTACATCACTTTGTTTTAACCATAAACTCTGTACTTTGGACTTTACCTCAGGTTTTGAATAAATATATAGTTCTGGCTCCGACTCTCCGTCTTCTCCACCGTCTCAACTGCCGTCGATCAATTTTATTCGCCTGCTTTCTATCTCAAATTTTTTGCAGGAGCACCGCAGTTTCTTCCTACGTACTTTGGTCGACCTCCGGCAACGTCAACATTCGAGAATTAGTACTGGAGCAGTCTTCCCGCAGCGCCTCTGGAGTCTATTACGTTCATTGTGGATTTTGGATCTTTGTAAACCCAAGTAACGAAACTTTAATATATTCTTCCCGTAACTAAACTGATTTGGTATTTTATTTTCTACTTGAATTTGGGTAAGTAAGCTAACAGAGTAAAAGGTCCACCACAATAATTGGTGAGCCCGTTTTCGAACCTTGAGTTTCGATAGTTAACTCGTTTTGAACATTTTTGTTGCTATTTTGGCCTTATAAACTTGCATTGCTTTAATTTTTGTTACCACAAGTTTTGCTGTTTTGTATATCTCTATACTTAAATATTTTTTTGACAATGGCTCCATATAAACGTATCACTATTCCCAAAGAACTTCATAAAGGCGAAGTGATACAGAACTCTTCTGTTACCGCCTTGCCGGATTCCACATCTATGAAGGACGCACCACTATATTGGTTACTTTCTCAGTTAACATCTCAAATGCAAGACTTACGACTGGAAGTGTCTGAGCTTCGAGCACAACGGAACCAGTCACATACTGTATCCAAGCAACGGCGATCAAGATCTAGACGACGTTCTAGAACACCGTCTCAAAGCCGTAACATTTGTTGGTATCAAAGGAGGTATGGGCATAATGCCCTGAAGTGTCTTCGACCGTGCATGTACAACAGTGGTAACTCAACTCAGGGAAACTCCCCAGCCAGGCAGTAATGGCGGCTGTTACTGGCAATCACCCCAGTCGCCTTTTCTATGTGAGGGATTTGACTACCGGCACATTATTCCTGGTAGATACAGTCGCTGAGGTCAGTGTTATCCCCCCCTCACTATCCAGGCGATCAGCCAAAATACCGGGGAAACTTTCACTCTGTGCTGCCAACCAAACCAACATACAGACGTATGGCGGACAGTCAATGATTTTAAACCTAGGATTACGCCGATATTTGACATGGATCTTTATAGTAGCTGATGTACGTCACGCCATACTAGGTGCAGACTTCCTAAGTCATTTCAATCTGTTAGTTGATATCAGCAAGAAAAAACTGATTGACAATTGCACCCAACTCAAGATCCACGGTATTACATGTGATTACTCTGTTCATAGTATTTGCATAGAAAAGCCGGAGAGTGAAATGTTCTCTACTTTATTACAACGATTTCCTAAAATCCTTAAACCATCATACAACGTCGAGGATATATCTCATACAGTTACTCATAAGATCATCACAACAGGACAACCTGTGAAGGCAGGTCCACGACGGTTATCACCCAATAAACTAGCAACAGCTAAGTCGGAATTCGAACATATGATGCAGCTAGGCATCATACGACCATCTAACAGTCCATGGTCTTCACCTTTGCATATGGTACCCAAAACTAATCACGACTGGCGACCATGTGGAGATTATCGCGCTGTGAATAACGCTACGGTCCCGGACCGTTATCCTATACCCTATCTCCACGACTTCTCCTTGACCTTATATGGAAAGACCATTTTTACTAAAGTTGACTTGGTCAGGGCATATCATCAAATACCAGTCGCTCCAGAAGACATTGCAAAACGGCAATTATCACGCCTTTTGGATTATTCGAATTCTTGAGAAGGCCTTTCGGACTAAAGAATGCCGCTCAAACATTTCAGCGTTTTATGGACCAAGTTACCCAAGGTCTTGATTTCGTCTTTGTATATATCGACGATGTCTTAGTAGCCAGCTCATCGATGGAAGAACATATGGAACACTTAAGCCTGTTATTTCAAAGGTTTGAACAATTTGGAGTTGTTATCAATCCAAAGAAATGTATTTTTGGTTCCCCTTCCATTGAATTCTTAGGACATCGAATAACTGCCGAAGGCATCAGACCTACCGAAGATAAGATAAAAACTATTAAGAACTTTCCCGAACCTGATTCCTTAAAGAAACTTAGACGTTTTCTCGGGATGTTCAACTTCTACCGACGTTGTATTCCATCATGTGCCTCCATAGTTCAGCCACTGACCGACCTACTTAGATGCAATTCGAAGAAATTTCAGTGGTCTGAAGAAGCAAAAGCAGCATTTAATAACGCAAAAGATGCCTTATCCAACGTTGTAATGTTATCTCATATCAACCCAGAAGCTTCACTCATTTTATGTACAGATGCATCGCAGGTAGCAGTGGGAGCAGTTTTACAACAAAAGTTCAATAATGACACCACTCCACTTGCTTTCTTCTCCAAGAAGTTGGAACCGGTGCAAACTCGTTACAGCACTTTTGGCAGAGAACTGTTAGCCATCTACCTAGCAGTTAAACTTTTCAGCTTCCTACTACAAGGTCGACATTTTACTATCTCAACCGACCATAAGCCTCTTTGTTATGCTTTCACCACTTCGTTGGACAGACACTCTCCGAAAGAAGCCAGACAACTGGATTACATATCACAATTCTCAACAGACATCCAGTTCATCAAGGGAGATTTCTATATCGCAGCCGATTCTTTGTCTCGATGTGACGTTAATCACCTATCTTCGATAGATATTAGCTTAGACAATATAGCCAAGCTGCAGAAAAATGACGCCGAACTCCATACTTGTAGATGAAACTCCTCCCTACAGTTGCAGGACGTACCTGTTCCCCTGTCTGATACAACTATCGTGTGCGACGTTTCAACGGGCGTTCATAGACCTTTTGTTCCACTAACTTGTCAAAAACCTTTGTTTGAACATCTACATTCTCTGTCTCATCCTGGTATACGTGCTACAGTCAAGTTGATCAGCGAGCGTTTCGTTTGGCCCAAGATGAACTCCGATATTCGGAAACGGGCCCGACAATGCTAGCAATGTCAAAGATCCAAGGTACATCATCATACCATCACACCTCCAAAGCAGTTCAATTTACCGGATAGACGATTCCAACACGTGCATATAGGTATTATTGGACCATTACCGCCATCCAGAGGGTTTACTCATATACTTACTGCTATTGATCGATTTACCCGATTTACCATTGCTTGTCCACTCAACGACATATACGCAGAAAATACCGCTTTGGTTTTCTTAGATCGTTGGGTGTCAAACTACGGAGTACCAACAACTATTACAACAGACCGAGGAGCTCAGTTTCAATTAACTCTGTTTCGAGAGTCTACGAGACTCCTTGGAGTGAACCATATCTCCACTACAGCTTGTCATCCTGCATCGAATGGTCTGATGGAACGTTTCCATCGACAACTGAAAAGCTCCCTTATGGCACAAGCTGACTCATCTAAGTGGAGTGAACACCTACCATTAGTTCTTCTCAGTATCCGATCAACTGTCAAAGAAGATTTAGGATGTACACCAGCTCAACTTGTGTATGGTACTACTGTCTAATGATTCAACTGAAGTAAATATCTCCGACTTCACCAACCGCCTTACCCAGCAGATGCTTCAGCTTCGACCAGTAGCCCCTCGCCAATCACTTCAGAAAGCTCAAGTTAATAAGAATCTACTCACTTGCAAATTTGTATTTGTTCGCGTCGATTCCATTAGAAAAGGTTTACATCATCCATATGAAGGTCCTTTTCTAGTACTTAAACGCACCGATAAATACTTCCCACTGAACAAACATGGTAAACCGGAGACTGTTTCTATTGATCGTCTTAAACCAGCGTACACCGACAGCGAATATGAAACACTAGCAACGCCTGCACCAATAAACAAGGAGAAAGTCAATGCAACTCCAACTCTCCCGCTCTTCACACTTCCCCCTGTACAGACACGCAGTGGGCTGCCCGCTATGCTCATTTCATTGACTGACATAAACGTTAACCTCATTTAGACATTCTTCTCATTACTATTGTTGTTGACATTCATTTCACTATAACCATTAATATTTATTAGTATTATTGTTTGCTGTTCGTTAACTGTACTGCAAGAACACGCATTCATCAAGTATATGTATATATCTATTTATATATGAATTTCACAAATGTTAACGAACATGTTATGGTTTATTATGTACATAAATTTTTTATTTAAAATTATAACAAGTTTTGATTTTTTTAAATTCCTGAATCATGCATGCATGTGCTAAACTTTATATGACACGGATGCATCCCATGCATCCTGATCAAACTTTGTATCCTTATTATTGTTGCTGTTATTTTTTGTTATCCTTATTGTTGACATTATCCATTATTTATATTGCTTGTATTCATGTAATCGTCCACGAGGACAGTAATGATGGTCCTCCTGACCTCTAAGAAGGAAAGCCGTGTGGAGTCCTCAAAAATAAACTTATCCAATTTTTACTACTATGTAAGAAATGAACATATTGTACATCACTTTGTTTTAACCATAAACTCTGTACTTTGGACTTTACCTCAGGTTTTGAATAAATATATAGTTCTGGCTCCGACTCTCCGTCTTCTCCACCGTCTCAACTGCCGTCGATCAATTTTATTCGCCTGCTTTCTATCTCAAATTTTTTGCAGGAGCACCGCAGTTTCTTCCTACGTACTTTGGTCGACCTCCGGCAACGTCAACATTCGAGAATTAGTACTGGAGCAGTCTTCCCGCAGCGCCTCTGGAGTCTATTACGTTCATTGTGGATTTTGGATCTTTGTAAACCCAAGTAACGAAACTTTAATATATTCTTCCCGTAACTAAACTGATTTGGTATTTTATTTTCTACTTGAATTTGGGTAAGTAAGCTAACAGAGTAAAAGGTCCACCACATACTTACTGTTGATTGTTAATATTTCTTATATGAACTGAATAATAACTCCGCTAAATACAAATTCCTGGATTCCGCCCTCTCTGTGTTTTGGTTGGATTCTTGTAATTCGGTCATCACGAAATACTAATACTACGACTACAAATAATTACTACATCTCCACTGTGACCAAACACACGCCGCCGGACCTCAGAATTGCTCAAGTTATGATCCCATTGAACAGAAGCAATCCTGCGGAGACAGCGATGATCGAACAAGCAGAGTCGCCGCACATCCTCAACCCACTCGGAGAGGCCAGGTTTCACAGGCGTAGAGCAGGACAGCCGAACCGAAGGATTGTATACCCGACCTTTGACAGGCAGGCTAACGCGTCGCGACGGCGTCAGAGGTGGCTCAAGTTGATGTATACCACTCTAGTCTTCATTATACGGTTGGAAATCTCATCCGTCACCCCTCCGCCAGCACTCACACAACTACCAAGATACACAAACTTATCAACAACTTCAAGCGGTTCACCTGGAAGAGTGAGTGCAGGTTCAGACTTCTACCAATCTTGTAACGGTACTTTGCACTTAGACGGCGAAAAGCACATACCATACTGACTGACACTGGTCACCAACTGATTAAGTGGGATTTCGGCAGCCTGCATGCTATCGCACAGTAAGACGATATCGTCTGCATACTCGAGGTCGAAAAGTCTATCTCCAGGTGGCAGATCTACACCACCTTCACTCACATCCTTCACAGCTGACTCCAGAATGTCATCGATGGCAAAAATAAAGAGAAATGGGGAGATTAGGAAACCCTGTCCAAACCCACTGTTGGTTGCAAACAGTGATGATAGTTGGTTGTATGCCCTCACTCTGCCCGAGGTGTTTCTGTATAGGGCTTTCAAGATGTTAACAAATTTCTCAGGTACACTTCCCTCTCTAACAGACAGTTCCAGAGCACAGTTCTGTCCAACGAATCGAAGGTAGCCCTAATATCAAGAAACACAACGATCGTTGGCCTGCAATACGTGTGGCGGTGTTCCAACAATTGACGAAGTGTAGACACATGATCAGTGCATCCACGACCTGAACGAAACCCAGCCTGCTCTTTGCGAATCAACCCCTCACGCGATTCGCACAGCCTGAGAAGCAAGACAGCAGCCAATATTTTAGATGCAGACTGCCAGCAGGCTGATACCCCTATGTTTGTCACGCGAATTAAATCGACCCGTTTTAAAGATGGGGACGATAATGGCTTCGTTACACATTGATGGTGCACTCTCTATCTCCCATGCCTTTCTGAATGAACCAGTTGTAGCCATTTGATAGTCTCACCACCATCTTTAAAAGGAGATGGTTTTTATATTGACTCCGTATGCATAAACAGACCTCAAACGCTTATTACACGCAGATTTGAAGACAATCTCTGAAACGTCCATACTTGCAGATCAACAAACTAGATACGTTGAAATAAAAGGAAGTGTTGCAAATGTGTAACTTAAAAATTAATCCACAATCTCAGTAATGTCTAGTGAACATGGTTTTGTGAATCCCACAGAAATTACATTCACATATTTGGGAAACTCTAGCTATCAAATATAAGCCGAACATGCCTCAACTCTAAACAGCTATACTGTTATGTACTCGTCGCCAAATTATTGTTATGTACTGGTCGAGAATTTATATGTCCTGACGCAAGAAAGACGGAAATCAGAAGACCACTAGGTTTGCGATGATACTTATATTTTCCAAAACACAAGGAGAAGCAAAGTCTCACACAAGAGTGTGAGGGCAAAATATATATATGAATGTCCGGACAAGTGTGTGAACGAATATTCAAAACGAACAAATCAATAGACAGTCTTAACATGAATGGCTAATTACAGTGGAATATCGATCCATATATACCTAGCAAATATAACAGACATGTCAAACAAACACACATATTATATATAATATAAGGGGAATATACATTGTTAAAGGAGACAGGTTCATCAAAGTGAAATGGTCACAGACTAAGAGAGCAACAGAAAGAGAGACCACCATATATATATATATATGGATACATATCATATACACAGTGTTATCAGCATGGAGAAACACCTAAATTATTGTAAGATTCACAGAACTGTTGTTTTGACAAAGCTAACAACGTCATATAATCCAACCTAGACATTCAGTCGCGATACTGCATCTGTACTGCTTTACTTCGTGTAAATGGCAATTTCAGGAGGAATTTATTTTCACTATTGGCGATCAAAAATATTGCAGCATCAAGCATGCAGTGTCAGTGGGACTGGTATAACAGACAGCAGATGTTAAAATTACTTCTGTAGATATATTTAATAATGATTTTGGCCTTTAAGCAGATGATGAGAAGCCAACAAAATAAGTGATGGTACCATTATATCCTGCAAAACTGTTGTTATTGCTTTATTCAGACTGATAATAATACAGCTGACTGGATTCGGTTCTCATAATCACCACAATCCATGTGCATATTAATACTATGCACTAAGTGAAACAGTGAGGAAAATTAAACGAGTAACTTCCTTCTCCACTGCACTGCACTTGCAGCAATCATGAGAACCACCTACATATGTTAGCATAGCAGTCATCTAGGCAGACAATACCACCATAATAATAAAGTGGAGATATTTTTTATACATCGCAACTCGCAAAAACATCGCATCCACATAACCCATATTACACTACAATCAGTGCGAATATATTACATCCATTTAGAAATTACCTTTCAGCTTACGATAATTCCTGTCCAAACGCACATACGGTGAGATATACATCTACATGATGGCTCCTTTTCCCACAGAAGGTTCTGTTAGCACTCACAGGTTATTTTCATGTACTGATAGCATTCACTCGTCAGATAATACTCTTTTTTCACACAAAAATATGCTGCATTGATACCCCAAGACGTGAGTTTTTGGATAGCTTTAAGTCGTATTGCTGCTGGTGGTGTGTAAGGATGAGTGAGATTGTCCACATTCGATCTGGTCAATGTGGCAACCAGATTGGAGTTACATTTTAAGGAGTTGTATCTGACGAAGATGGGATCAATCCGATGGGCAAATACCGCGGTGATTCCGATCTTCAGCTGGAACGCATCTATGTGTATTACAATGAAGCGACTGAAGGAAGGTACGTATCACATGCGGTGTTGGTTGTTTCAGAGCCTGAAACCATGGACAGTGTACGTGCAGGCCCCTTCGGTCATTTATCCCGACCTGATAAATTTGTCTTCGGAAAAAGTGGGGCAGGGAACAAATGAAAAAAGTGTCATTACACTGAAGGCGCCGAACTTGTGAACTCAATGCTGGACACGGTGTCCACAAGGAAGCCGAATCATGCAACTGCCTTCAAGGTTTTCAATTGATTTATTCTCTCGGAGGAGACACAGGATCTGGAATGGGGACGTTACTGATTTCAAAGATTCATGAAGAGTACCCCGATCGTATCATTAATGCGTTCTTTGTAGTCCTTTCGCCTAAGGTGTCTGATAGTATTTTCGAGGCTTACAATGAGACTCTCTTAGTTCATCAGCTAGTGAAAAATAATCAGATTCCGATTCCGATTATAAGGATAGAAGGCTTTTGTTATCTGTGTTAATCTTCGCGATATATACCTCTGAAAAGTTCCATTTTCTTTTCGAAAGTGTTCACTGATGGAGCTGTTACTGCTTAAGCAGGTGAGGAGTTCCAATAGTTGAACACTCTGTGAGAGAATCTTAACTCCACGCGTATTTTTTTCGACCTCTCTTTGAGCACCCTCTTGTGGTGACCTCACAAATGC